TGACCCCTAAAACTCCCAACCTTCATGTCCTTGTATAATCATCTTTCCTGAGTATGTAATAAGACCTGTCACTTGTGTAGCCAACAGAATATGGCAGTGGTGATGGGATGCTGACAATTGTCTTGTAGGTACACTCAATGGCTCCTTAGGGAAAGGCCCAGGATGAGGAACTGAAGGTCACTAACAAGCTCCCTGAAAGGGCCACCTGAGCCATATGACCTTAAAAGGGTATCACTTCATTGGTGCCCAGGCTCTGGCCCAACACCATCACTGACTTATGATATAAATCCCAATCCAAAGGGCCAGGCTCAGATTCCTCCCTCACAGGAATTGGGATCTCAGGTGTGCTGTTTCTTAAGCCACTGAGATCCTGCTTGAATAAAGCCAGGCTACATACTCCCCTGAGGATAGAGAATATGGGGCAGTGTTGCATTTTAGATTTGGTCATCTCTCTAGCTTTTACTTGTGGTTCTTCACCAATTCATAGGAACCAGTACCAAAAAAAAAAAAAAATGCAAGCAACCCTGCCATGGAATTATAGTTATGGAGAAATGATATGTACAGAGATAATTAGAACCTCTTATAAGCAGATATATATATGGGCAGATTGTGTATATGATTTGAGTATGACAGAAGCCATGAAATAATTCACCTGGGGCTCTGAGGAATCTGGGTGTATGCTAACACACAGAGAAAAAGCAGTCTTTTCAAAATGATGCCCAAACACTGCCCAAAAGGCATCAGATGGATACTTTCAAAAACAAAGACATACTTTTTTTTTTTTTTTTTTTTTTTTTTTTTAAGAACAGACCAAGGGACTAAAGCCCAAGCGAAATGCATTTGGGTCAATTGAACAGGGAATTCCATCATCTTCCATCAGCAGGCTCTTCATAGGTACTGGGGTGAAATGAAGGGAGAGAGCCCACCCTGACTTCAAATGCCCATGCTTGGGGGACAAGTCTTGACTATGTACTGAACACATACTTCATGCTAGGATATACCAGGAATGTTAATAACCAATGCCTCACTTGGCTCAGAACAGAAATGCTTTGTCCCATCCCACTGTCATAGATGAGCAAACACATTTTGAGGCCATGGAGCTAGTTTGTAGCAAAGCTGGAAATCCATCTTGAGCCTCTTCCCTCTGGACATCGTGTTTCACTGTCTCGTTGTTTACTCAGCCAGTGACAGGTCTCACACGTCTAAAGCAATTTGCATGTACTGTGAAACATAAAGTAAGGGAGGTCATTGAGGAAAATTTCACTTGGTCTTTCCATGTTTTAGTAAATGCCACTCTCAGAAGTTCTGGTTCTTTGCTCTGAACATATGGTAGGTAATCATCTCTATTAGTATCATTTATTAAGCAATTTGTGCTCGATCTCACAGCCTACTTTGGCTTACTTCCTAAAGAGATATTGGGAAGGATTTTTGTTACTTAAAAATTCACAGCCAGACGGTGGTGGGGCATATCTTTAATCCCAGCACTCGGAAGGCAGAGACAGGCAGATCTCTGTGAGTTCAAGGCCAGCCTGGTCTACAGAGTGAGCTCTTCCTGGATAGCTAGGGCTGTTACACAGTGAAACCCTGTCTCAAAAAAAACAAAACAATAATAAAAAAAAGGAAAAGAAAAAAGCAAAAGGGAAGAAGAAAAAAATTCACAACACTTCTGACTTTCATTGAAGCCTAAATTCATACAGAAGATGCTGCTTCTTGTCCCAAAGTAACAATGGGATAAGGGGGGTGGGGAGAGCGGTTAGCTGGGACAACCAAAAGGAAAATGTAGTCCCACCTCCACTATTAAGAGTGAATCCTTTATGCAGGATGGATTATCCCCCTGTGGGGGGTAGCAATGCAGGGCCCTCAGAGAGGAGGGAAACTACTTCTTCACAGGCTGGCTGGGCTACAGGCACAGGAGTGGTCCCAAACCCAGCACAAAAATTATTTCTGCGCCCCAGGTGTCGGGGGTTGTGTGCACTGGGACATGGGCACTACAGAGACTTCAGTCTCCTGGAACAGACTGAGGGATCTTTCTGAGACTTGAGTCTCTGTGTCGTGTGGGGAAGTTTCAAGAAGAGCAGAGATCTAGTCAACACTCATCGCAGTGTTGAGCACAGACTAAAAGAAACCCCTGGCCTCGTGGACTTAGGACCCAGACCTCATGCTTGCCTTTGCATTGCTGCTAAAGTTACAGCACACAAACTGACCTCTGACCAACTGGAGGGGTCTTAAGACAAATGAGGTGAAAGTGCTCGGCCGTTTGCAAATGACAGAGTAATTTAAAAGTTCTCTAGAGAAACAGAGAGAGAGAGAGAGAAGAAGAAGAAAGGGAAGGAAGGAAAGAAGGAAGGAGAGAAGCCAATTCAAAAATTGGCTAATATAGTTGTGAATCAGTTAGGTAAATTCTAAGTTCACATAGGGGTCATGTTATAGGACTTAGGCCAGAACTGATACCACAGACTTGAAGCCAAAATTATTCTCACAGAAATTTTGTATTTTTCTGTTTAAGCCTATAATTGGTATGAGGTATTGGCGAGCTTATTCCCTTACTCATTCAACTCATTGATATGAAACCTCTGGCAAAACAGCACCATAGCAACACTTAGCTTCATGTTAAATAATTGGGCACTATAGCATCGCCAAGTTAACATGGTGAGCTAACTGTACTTGAGCTAGAGCATGCAGGATGGTTAGAAGTCCAATGGAGGGAGGAGAAAGTGCATGCGAAAGACTTTGGGAATGCTAAGTAGTATGGCGGGCTGGAGCCCTGCAGTTTGATGGAGAAGCACAGAGGTTAAACAGGCTCACGGGAACATCAGTGGTCCATAGCTTCTAAGAGTCTCAAGAGACTCTCAGCTTGTAACTAAATCTTGTGCAAGATCTAGAAAGACCAGTCTGGAAGGAGTGTGGGGAGTGACAGTGCCTTTGAGGAGCGGAGAAGATCCCACAGTGCAGTTGCTGGCTGGCCCCAAAGGGCTGGAGTGACTCTCCACATCAGCCACCTTTTGGCCATGGGCATTGCACTTGTCCTCTCTGCTTATAGATGGTATCAGCATCTATACCGACATTATAGTGTACTTAGCCACTCACAATTCAAAGAACTCCTGAGCAATGCCTCCTGTAGTGGACGATAGGTACCTGAGCACGGAGGCACTGGTTGAGTAGAACATTGGATCCAACACATGGGCATACACAGCTCAATCCCTATATGTGTGACCATGCAAGCCAGCATGCAAGTATACATGAAGAACTCCACTGCAGAAAATAAGTCGCTCCCATTTTATTCTTGGAGCGCTTCGCTTATATATGCTTTATGCAATAAGGGAGAGATTCTAGAGGAAGAAAAGTTTTTTAGAAAAAAGTCAGATTCACTTTTTAAAAATGTGACTTGATTATCATCCCTTTTCAAGACTACCTAGAGCTTTAACATTGTAGCATATGAAAGCACAACTAGAAATTAGTCCAGATACATGCTTTGGAAAAAAGATATAATTGTACATGGAAATAGGATGAGGAGGACTGGGAAATCTTTGATTGCTGACTCCCATGTTCATCTGTTTGAAGAAACTGAATACATTTTTAGTAGGCACTTGCCTTTTAACCAGCTAACCAGGATATTGGCTAGCTTCATCAAATTGTGAAGTCACTCTCTCAAACTTGGGAAGGAATCAATATTGGACTCCGTCGTCTTTATTGATTTGAAAGTTAGTGTTTATACCACTTTAACCGGCATGAATGCTTATAACAACATAGCTTGCCATCGTTACCATAATATCTAGAGGCATCGCTCTGGACGCCCATTACTCCGGTGAGATTCTGCAATGCCAAGCCCTGTCTAGAACACTAGTGCTTGAAAACCAACCTAGTGTTCCTATTGTCTCCTTGCCCATGCAGATATACCCAAGGAAGAATAACTCTTATTCGGGAGTAAGTATCCTGACATGGAGACTTCCTATTAAATAGACTTCATTGACTAGTTAATCTTTGTCCAGCATCAAAAGCAGGCACAATCTGCACACTTGCTTCATATACGGGAAAAGCATATTTTGTAGCCATTGGGTGATAAGGAATTGCTTCTGCTGATTATGAGAGCTCCTCTTTCTAAGGAAACACGTGCTGTGTGCCTAAAAGCCAGTGCTGACTAGCAATACTGCTTAACAATAGTCCATGATAGGAGTTGGCAAACAACTCCTATAGATGCCACCCTTGGAAATGTAGCAATCCTCTGGATCAATTAAACTCAGAAGTGGTTGAGACTATGCCTGATGCTTCTCTATGAGCAGCCTTCTCAGTTATGGCAGCTGGAGTTTGTAAGACTGCACACACTCAGCCTTCTTTCCCATCAGGGTATCTTCAAGTCACTGATCTGGCCCCAGGTAAGGCAATCACAAGCAAGAGATTTTTTACACTAGATTGAATGAGGGTGGCGAAAGCCCTGAGGCCACCATGTGGAAAGTCTAGGATCTACAGTCTTGGAAACCATTTATGACTGCCATAGGACAGGCTCTATTGGAGGTCTCCTATGAAAGTGCCAGCACAATTAAGCGTGGACCATATCTATACAACTATTTAGACCAGCTCTCTGCAAGAGCTAGTAAATAAGACCCACTCGGTTGTTTTGAAGTCTGAAGGAGTCCCTGAAATCTGAAATTCCTGGAGTGCCCTCAGAGTTACTCTTGCATGTGCTGAATCCCCACATTTATGACCTAACTGGCAAACTTGATGCTTACCTATTCATCTGGATAAGACCATGCCTGCCTGGCCATCTACCCTTCCCCTATCTGTTTCCTTGGAACAGTGAAAGATATCATTCTGGTTCTTTTATTGTTCCTATTTTCTCAAAATGAATTTTATATTTATATATATATCAAAATAATTGTATATTTCATTTTGAAATTATTTTATTATTCTGAAAGAGCGCATGCTAAGCCTACATGGCAAGCTGTAAGCAAGCAGGATAGAATGTAAAAATGCCTAACAAACAGTGTCTTGCCCTCCAGGAGCTCAAGAAAAGTTGATACGGAAAAGATAAGAGATAATCATAGAAAACCAAGTGAACATTTTGGAGTGGCCCTTCACTACACAGGACTAAGATATTCCACTTTTAGTGTCACACACCCAGCAGTGGATAAAAAGGGTCTCTCTGGGAGCAGCTCAGAAATGGAGGAGGTGGCTGTGGTGATGGCGACCCTGAATCCTTGGGGACCAAGTGATGAGGTCTCGTGCACAGCATTCTTCCTTGATATTCACAGCTGAGTGTCAAGGTGTTTGGGGGTACAGGGGGTGGGGTAAGAGACTGGTGTCCTATGCCATTATTTTTTTTTATGATGGTAAATGGAAGAGATTTGGGAAGAGAGAATTTTGAAACTTAAATTCCTGAAACACTGCAGAAGTGACATGGGTGACGTCAGGTGTTTCTCCTGCTTCCATGTGAGTCACTGGACAAGAGCCCTGTGGGATGTCACAGGGTGACTTCTCATTTGACTCCTCTGCCTTCTTCATTGTCCTGTCCTCTCTGGGAACAAAAGAGGAAGAAGCAGAATGACAGACAGATGAAACCATCCATCGTTGGAGGGACCAAAAAAGAGAATGAGAAGCTCAACCATGCTTCCTGACCTTGCTCACTTGGATCAGCATAAAAAAGGGGTTGTGTGCAGAATGCATTTTGGTAAAGGGGTGATTGGTCAAGGCATTGCAAATTGGAGAATGGTCTGTGCCATTGTGTACACACCCCTCAAAACACCCTGACTCGGGGAAGCTGACTTGACACTTCTCCGTGTTTCCTAACAAGAGGGGAGGCTGTCTAAATTAGGAAGGCCAGAGCAAGAATCCTGAAGGCAAAACCTGAGGAGGGGAGGGTCTGCTTGGCAGTGGGCAGCCATGTGTGCCTCGGATTGACACTTATTACAGGAGGGGTATGGCACACCTCAGGTAAGGGCAGTGTAAACAAGGATGTGAGAGAATTGCTTGAGCATAAGGAAGGGAAGTCACACATTATCCACTATCAAGTGGCCTCCTCTGCCCTCCTCTTACTCTTGGAAGAAAGCAAATCATCAGGTTTGGGAAATAGAGCAGGAAGGGAAGAAATGGAACTGACGACTTTCAGGTACCTCAAGTAGCCCTGCCATCAAGGCCCCTTTTCTTCCCAGGCGTTCCAGGGGCCCAGAAAGGCCTCCAACTGCAGGGACATCTCGTGGCTCCTGGGAATTGTTGGCATGAGACTTATAGAAAAGAGAACAAAGGTATCAAGATGTCTCCACAGCTGCAGATGCCCTATTATGTAGAGCCAGAAGCTTATGACTTTACCTTAATGGATCTGCACTTTAGGAAAAGCTCAACTCCAGTCCCAGAAAAGTGGCATCTCAGGCTGGAGGACATTGCAAGGTCATTTGGGAAGGGTGATGTGTTTCCAGATCCTTTAACTAGCCCTCCCAGCCTTCTCAGATGTATCAAGCATGCTCCTATGTTGGTCCTTTCTACTTTCCTCAACTCCCTGCCCCAGCCATTGGTCTGAAGGGGGGCCTGACAACTCACACTGAGAAATGAATGGCTTCAAATGTGGCTTTGCCACAGAGAAATGATAGACTAATAACAGCAGCTGGCCCTCCCTACTGTGAAGGAGTCTTTAAGTGAGGGACATCGGACATCTGGGGCAAGACAATATGTGGAATGGCCAGTTACTCAGTAGAGGTAGAAAATGGCTCAGTTCCCTGAACTCTAAAACTATGTGGGTCCTGATGCCTTTCTTCCCAAATGTTCAGAAGAAATTAAAATCCATTAAAAGCATATAAGTGGCAGCCCTGAACTGACGAAGAGGTCTGAGGTGGCTCAGTCAGAAGCCCCTTTCTTTGCAAAATTATGCACCTAAGAACTACATGGGAGGAAGAGGTGCCACACAGGCCAACAGTCAGAATGTGGCCGGAGCCCTGCTGGGCAGCCCTGGAAACCCCAGCAGAAGCAACTGCCACTGGTTCAGGGAGGGGGAGGGGCTCATAGTCTGTGCTGACAGTTGCCCCCCCTCCCCCGCTTCCTAGTTTCACTCCCATCTTGTAATCCTGAAGGAAGGCAGCAAGCTCTGAGACACAGAGGAAAGAACCTCATGGTTTTCAACTCCCTCACAAGAAATAAGGCTTTGAAGAGACCACTGAATAATTTGGAAGTTTCTACAAACACATTCCCTCAACAGTTGCCTGAGAAGAAATAATCTGTTTCTACAAATATAAACAGTCTTACCAATAAAGCTCTCTTAGAACCAAATGTGCTGGCAAAGAGGTGGACGGGGATGAGAGGCATGTTATCATGACAATACTGTGCTGTATAAAGTCCTGTGAGGTAACCACCAAAGATAAGCATAGTACTCTTGGGGACAGAGGTAGCAGGAGGAATCCGAAGAGCAGAAGGAATGGGAAAGAAACCAGTGTGCAGTAAGGATGTCTGGGTCTTCTCTGTGATATCATGTCCTGCCATCTCCCCCACTATCTGTGACCTGCCTGTATCTCAGTTTCCCCAGAAGGAAAATGTACTTTCATGAAATAAACACATAGATGAGAGAAGACCTTAAGGCAAAATGCCATGGGTGACTGTAAGTGATGAGGGAAATCAGAGAAAGTAGAAAGCCTGAAGGGGCAGAAGCCTTGGCCAAGCAGAGGCTAATGGAAGAGGAAGTGATGGGAAGCAGGTTAGAGTAGGTGAGAGAGAATGGACAGAGTAGTGGAGACATGGGAGAGGCTTAATTCAGAGGCTTCAGTGGACAGCATGTGACCAAAAGAGCCAAGGTTCACAGGGTATCTGATGATCAAGCAGAAAGGAAAAGGTACCAGCTAAGTGGACAGGGCGTGGACAGAAAGTCTGAATGCCCTTCCATTTTGTATAGCCTGGAGATGTCCCCCAGTCATCCCAAAAGCACGGGGCTGAAAACAAAGGAAAGGAAGCACTCCACCCGGGATGCAAGGGTGAAGACAACATCCTTCCAAACTAAATGACAGCCTCTGGACAGTCAACCCACTACCCCCAAGCGCCCCTCTAATGGTGGAGAGTTAAGCATCCATTATGGAGCTGAGCTGAGGTAACAGGGACTGGGCCCTTTTGAACCTGTCAAACTCCAACCTGGGACATTTTTCCACCAAGGAAGCCCAGGAGGGGATACAGATGTGTGAGCGGGCTCTCAGCATTGGCTCCCAGGGAAGGAGGAAGGCTTAGAACTGTGAGCCTAGACACAGCAGCAACTAGGAAGGAGAGAGGAAAGGCAAGGCAGAGCCCTCCCTCCGGGTTCCTCCTATACTGTCGGAGAATCCCCAGTTGAGAGCTGCTGCTTTTTCTGACTATTGGAAACTACCCAGGAGTTGCCCTCTTGCCTTTTTGTCCTGTTTCCTCAGAGGTCCAGTATACTGCCCCCCCCCCAAAAAAAGTCATGTGCTGTAATGGAAACTGAAATTAGACACCTAGGGAAGTTCAGGGATGACAATGACCAGACCTCAACATTGTGTAGTGATGAGAGATTGCTCAAGAGGAATCTAGGCTAGGACTTCTCTTAAAGCCTCTGAAGCATCTAATTCTGGTGTTGCTAGTAAAGTATGTTGACAGTCAAGGAGATCTAGCCAAAAGGGGTTTTGTAGGGAGGTCCCTTCAGAAAACTACATGAGCTATTCAACTCCCCCACAGACCCAACTGTCAGGCATCTTATGGACAGCAGTGTCCTGCTCAGGGTGACTCTCATTTGCATTTTGATTTCTCTGCTGCTTCCACTCTCTGAATAGCTGTTGAGCTTTGCTGGATGGTGGAGACAGAAGGATGAAGGGGACAAATGTCCTACTTTCAATTCCCTCTGCAGTGCGAAGGGGAAGAATGACATGGTGAGAAATAGAACATCCAGGATGATGGCTCAGATATATGGACTCCTTCATTTCCACCCACACAGATAACTACAACTTCTGAGAGAACCAGACCCCCCTCAGGAAGTATTGCTTGTCCCCTCTGCTTCACTAACAGGAAATTGCAAACCTAGTTCTTTGTCCACTGGGGACTGTATGGTGGTAACAAAGCAAGTTGTTCTGCGATATCAGAGTCCTGACCTTGAGCAGCATGTGTTGAGCAAAAGGAAACTACTCAGAGTCTTTGTACCCAAGGACAGTGGCCCACAAGGCAGCCATCAGAATTCTTCCAGATAATGGAGACTGCAAATCTGTAAGGGCTACGTTAGGGGTCACCAGAGCTTATCACAGACAAGAGTCGGAGACTTCTGGAGACCAGTACAGACTGGGTGAAGGAGCCAAGGAAGGTGTCAAGGAATCAGACTTGGAGGTGTCTGTGTTCAAAGAGGTGGGGCTGTCCCTGAAAGCTGCCTCCTTGGTACCCCTAATGGGAGGGCAAAGGGTGGGGCCCTGATCCCAAAAGGATGGTGACCTCTTAGTTGATGGTCAGTAAGAGGTCTTTGAGACCTCAGCTAAGGGTCTGGAAAGAAAGGGTGAAGTTGGAGTGTCACCAAGATGGTGCACCTTCAAAATCACAAACAGGATCTAGGGAAAGAAGAATAGTGGCATCTGAGCTGGGCGGGGCTTAGGGCCTGCTCCTTCCCTGCTGACTTGCCTGCCCCCACCACTGCTGAGAAACAAGCCCAAACACAGGGTAATCTGATGGATTACAAATACCCATAGGACTCAGACTTTGAAGAGAGACCATTCAAGAAAAAGAAAGCATAAATGCTCCAAGGATTGCATCTGCAAAAGGAAGCAAAGAGGCCAGCAAAATGGGAGAAAGGAACTGGTGAGACTCACCAATACGTACAAAAGAGGAGACAGGAGGGAAAAGTGTCCCTAGGGGAACCTGAGTCACAATGATGTTAGGACAAAGAAGTACAGAATGAGGGGGAGCTTCATAGGCCTGCCTGGGACCAAAGCAAATGGAGGTTGGGGCAGTCAGAGCCCTCTCAGTGAGGAGGGAGCTTTGGGTACAAGTTGCACAGCCAAGCGGGCCAGACCAGACCCTGTGTGTCTTGCAAGAGAGCTTTTTCTGTTGCAAGCCGGTGCGCCCTGTCTTCACCTTCTGATCCCGATGCCAGGACATGCCTGGCTTGGAGGGCAATGCACGTGAAGTGAAAAGCAGGAAGCCCTAGGCCTGGGCTGCAAGTTTTCCATGGGGCAAAGCCTGTCCCCAATGCTGGGCCCTACTGAGACCTTTTGTTCTGGGCTGGTAGACACAGAGAATTAGAGAACAGCTTTTCAGAGACTCTGTCCCTCCCCCAGACTCTGGCCAGGTGTCCTTCCTGGGCTTATTTGGAAGTCTCTTCCCATAATAAAAGAAGCTTTCCATGGACAAGTAGGTGACAGCAAATCTGAAAAGCATACTGATACCTTTACATGGTTTCAAAAAGAAGCAGCAGCATAGATATGTACTCTTAACTACATTCTTTCAGGCCTTTTCTTCATTGAGAGGACTATGACTAGTATCCCAGATCAAGGACCAAAGGCTGCCATTCCAGGGTGAGGGCCTGGGAAGAAGACAGCTTCCCGGATCCCTCACCTTCTGGAAGATTCCCAATCTCTTCTGTTTTAAGCTCAGGCAGCCTTGAGAAGCTCATTTCTGGGGAGGCTCAAACTGGCGAGCCAGTTTGGAAAAGGGGCAGGCCTTACTCTAGGGAAGGCTCCAGGAACTCTGCCCAGTTTCTAGGCCCAGAAACTACATGGAATACACATTTAGCGTGTATGCACTAAGTGACTGGGAGACCCTAAAAGGTCCCTGCCAAGAGTCAGTGCCATTACCACATAATGCTGTTTGTCCATTTGTCTCCTTCCCCACCTCAGTGAAGGGGGAAGCAGGCTGTTTCAGGACCATGAGACCTTCAAAGACAATAAGGCTTCCCAGCTCCTCTTGCCAGAGTGCTCTACTTACGATGCGGTCTTATGAAGAAAGCAGAGCTGTGGGAACTCGAAGCTTTTCTCTGTGAAAGATGAGGCTGGGAACAAGGTTTTTCAGACATGGTTTGAGCACTTTGAAGATGGAAAACAAAAAAACAATTCAGCTTAAGAAGGGAGTAACACGTGGGGGCCCGGGGCCTTCTCAGGATTTCTCTTCAGCCACATTCCCAAGGTGGCTTTCTCTGGATCAGCTGCTTTGACTATTTGAGCTGTAGGAGATGGGGCCACTTTCAGGTCTTCACTGTTTCTCTATTGTTTGGGGAGAGGATCCATATAGGCCTGGTCACTCTAACCCTAAGAGACTTTCCAAGACTGGACCCACGTGTCCTAACTGAGCATGTGGTACAAACACTCCCCTCCCTTCCCCACTCTCACTTCTGTTTGCTCACCACACAACAGCCCCATCACATGTGTTTATCCACTGACGTATTTTTCACCAAGCAGCTATGATCCTGAACTGGATGCCAGACTTGAGTGTGCCCCTCAGTTTTTCACCCCAGGTCTTGATTGGGGAAGTGGGGTTCCTTCCAGATATTCTCTAGAGACTTTGGGTAGACCTTAGCCATCGAGATGCCACAGGATATCTCCCACTCTGCACCTCCTTCAGAACGAAAACCACTAACAAAGAAGGACAGTCAAAAAACCAGTTAGGATATATCTGTGAGGTAGAAAGAAGGGAAGGGAGCTTCTGTCAATCAAGTTCTCCTGTCTTAAAAGGGGATTGCTAATTTGAACGTTGAAGTTAGCATCATTTCCCTTGACTTTCTAGTATTTTGAGGAATCAGGAAAAATACCTGTTGCCAGTCCAGTGTGGAGTATATTCTAAAATTCTGGAGACCTCAAATAAAGGAGGGGTTCTGAAACAGTACCATATAGTCTCACACGGGATAAGAACTTGAGTCCCAAGAACAGCTCAGGACTCTGAAAAGTAGGAGAAGTGAGTGGCCCCAGATCCTTGTGTGTGTGTCGGGGGGCATGTCAAGTATTTGTGGGGGCTGGGAATATATCTG